AAAAATTTTTGAAACTTAAAAATAAAATTCCAGGTTGCCGGGCTATAAAATTTTTTTGATGTTATGAGAAACAAAAACAACAGGTAAATAGATATTTATATAGTCAACTATGGATATAGTGGATTTTTTTAATTATAATCCATAGTTGACTATAAGAAAATCAAATAAATACATAAACCAACTATAACTGCTTCCAAAAGCCACGTTTGAAAGAATTTTTCGACCACTGCTGCATGGCAAGACATTACTTTTTTACAATAAAAAAGTGTGGTGAAGATACTTGTCCAATTTGTCTACCACCTCGATGCCCACATGAAATATTTACTCAACTTTATACCCTTCCTGATCCAATTCCGGGAGTAGATTCGCATTATAAATCTTTTGAAGAACTTTATGGCACCCATACAATGGAAAAATATAGACCTTCACGCGAAAAAGCAATACCTAGAACAAAATCTATCCAAACAAGAGGATGGACAAAAGGAAAAGTAAAGCATACAATGCTTTTCTGCCCTTCTGCACTGCACGCTAGAAATGTCGGAATTACAGTTAAGTGTACAGAATGTGATAAACCAAGACTGTTATTTAGTGCCAAAAAATTACTGGAAAAGGATCGTCAAATACTTAGCCGATTCCTAGATACCATCCTATACACCTGTGGAACTGCATTTCACAATGCTTGTGAGTTATCATTTGCTACACCAACTAGGCAACATTATGATTCAGATGAAGTTCCTGAACATGATGACTACAATTACGATGATGATTCTGTTGCTGATCCTAATAATTCTAACCAAGAGCCAATTATCAATAATATTGATGACGATAAAAGTGATGATAATATGCGAAGTGACGAAAGTAGTGAAAGTGATAAAAGCGACCAAGAAAATGAAATTAATGAAATGGATAATAGTTCTAACGAACCTGAAGAAGAAAGTACAAAAGATGAAATTAGTGACCCTATCCAGAAAATATTTAATAGCATTTTCGTTAACAACTCTTGGACTTGTAGCTCTCCAATTAAAAAACCATATTATTCAGCATCAATCTATCCTGAAGTTTGTTACCTGTGTGGTAGTCTTGATGTCAATCAGCCTACACCGTTAGATACCACACATCCACCTCGTTTCAAAGAAAAACTACCAAAGTGTGAAAGCTGTACTAGTTCAGATAGTCCAACCAAACGCAAAGGACAGAGATCATTTGTCAAAGGCAAAAAGCCTAAAAACCTTCACAAATTCTCTAGAGGATAATAATTTTGATAAAAGTTTTTTGTTCCTTTTAACTAGATTCATATTATTAGTGAA